AATAAAATAAAAAGGGTGGGAGATATAGCTCCATGGTAGAGCACTTGCCTGGCATATGCTTGTCCCTGGGGTCCATCCTTAATACTGAAAAAGATTAAAAAAAGGAAAAAAAGAAAAGAAAAGAAAGAAAGAAAGAGAAAACTTTGTACAATAACCACTACCAAATTAATCAATGAAATAGAACTGAGTCCAAATGTAAAAACATATACCTCTATGGTCTGGTCAACGGATTTTCACCAATGTTACCAAGATAATTCAATAGGGAAACATTAGTAATTTCAACAAGCATCGCAGGAAACAGAACAAAGCTGGATCTCTACCTTACAATATATACAACAATCAAATCAAAATGGTCTCAAGACCTAAATGTAAGAATTAAAACTAGGCAACTCTTAGAAGGAAACATAGACATAAATCCTCCCCATGTTGCATTAGGCAATGGTTTCTTTGATAGGACAACAATAGCACAAGCAACTAAAGAAAAAATAGGCAGACTGTACTTTATCCAAATTAACATCAAGCAAAAACCCAAAAGGATAGGAGAAAAATGGTTGCAAATTATGTATCTGATGAGAGTCTCATATTAAGAATATATAAAGAATTCTTACAGGTCAGTAATAAAAAAGACAAAAATTCCATTTTTTTTTTCTGGTGGGGGGATACTATGGATTGAACTCAGGGGTACTTGGCCACTGAGCCATACCCTAGGCATATTTTGTATTTTATTTAGAGATAGGGTCTCTCTGAGTTGCCTAGCACCTCACTTTTGCTAAGGCTGGCTTTGAACTTGTGATCCTCCTACCTTAGCCTCCCAAGCCGCTGAGATTACAGGCATGCACGACTGCACCAGGCCCAATTTTTAAAATGGGTAAAGGATCTGAAAAAATATTTCTCCAAGAAGGATATACAAAAAGCCATTAAGCACATGAAAATATGTTCAACATCATTGATCCTGAGAAAAATGAAAATCAAAACCATAATGATATACCACTTCACAACCACTAGAATGGTTATAACTAAAAGATAGGTAAGTATTGGCAATTAGGTAGAAAATGGTGCAGTTGTTTTAGAAAATAGCTTGGTAGTTCTTCAAAACAGAGTCTTCATTATGACCTAGCAATTCTACTCCTAGACATACACCCAAGAGAGGAAAAAAAACATTATGTCCACATAAAAGTGTATGCAAGGATCTTCATAAGCATTATGCATAAAAGCCAAGAAGTGGAAACAACACTCAAGCACCAACTGATGAATGGATAAACAAAATATAATGTACCGATACAATGGAAGGGGCAGAAAGGAGGAAGGGAGGGACAAAAAGTGAGAAATAAGATTATTTTTATTCATTTATATAAGCTCTTGAGAAATAAAGGAATAAACAGAAGGAATCACTGCGAAGTTTTGGCATTGATTCCTTCCACGGGGCTGGAGATTATTAACTTTTCTTTATATTTTGTTATATTATTGGACTTGTTTCAGTGATCATATGTTACATTTTTAATTAAATGACTAACTGATCAATTGAAATTAAGTAAGAAAGATTCTGAAGCATCCTCCTGCACAACTCAGTTCCTGGTTCCATCCTTCTGGGCATAACAAGACTCCTCCAGGCTTCCCTACTTCTCTGAGGGTTCAGACTGGGGAGTCGGCCTGGTCCAGCCTCCTACCCACATGCCAAAAGCAACCTCCATGAGGCCCCCCAGGATTTTTCAAAAAGCATCAATTTCCCCCATTTCCCACAGACTCATCTTCTCAGTGGCTCTGTGAAGACAGAAGAGCAGAAATAATCTCATTTAAAGCAAAGGAAAAAAACACCAACAGGTGCTGGTCCACAGGTGCACATCATGCTCCGCCACGTCTCAGCCTCTGCTGCGACTCTGGAGCTCAGCAGCATAGCCAGGTCTTGACAGAGCAGAGCCTTAGTAGTCCCACAGCACATGGTCACACAGGAGGAGGACCTCACCAGTAGGAAGCTTAATTATTTCTACTTCCAAGCCGGGGTTTGAAGCAAACTAATTCACAGCATAATTAATGACGAAACAGCCAGTTTCTGATGGGAGCTTGCTACATTTTTGCAGTGGTTTCAAGTATTTTGAACTTGGTTCTCAGTGTAGCAGTGTTGGAATGTGGTGTGGAACCTTTAAAGCAGTGGGGTCCAGGGAAAAGTGCTTAGCTTCAGGGGACAAGGTCTCTGGAAGGGATTAAAGCCAGTCTCTTGAAGACAGCTAGTTCTTGAGCAAGTTGACATAAAAGAACAAGCTTGGTTTCTGAGTCCCTCTCTGGCTTCCTGTCTCATCATGTGATCACAGTCTCTCCCATATGCTACTGCCACTATGATGCTATCCATCATGATGCCATCTGCCATGATGCAATGCAGCCTCATAAGAGCAGGCACCATGCTGTTTGGACTTTCAGCCACCAAAACTGCAAGGTGCAGAAACCTCTTTTCTTTATGAAGTACCACCCTCAGGTATTTTATTATAACAACCAAAAACCTACTCAAACAGTTGTCATGCTACAATAATTTGTTTACATAGTGTTTTATAGTTGATAAAGTGTAACAAAGTATAAAGTATATCAAAGTATATACTTTATATCCACAAGTATATCCACAAATATTTGCAGTCATTGTTGTGATGTCCCAATGACAAATTAATGTTCCTTCCAAGTTTAAAAATCAACAGGATTGGGAGTGTAGCTCATTGGTACAGCACTTGCCTGGTAAGAGTGAGACCATGGGTCTAGCACTTAAAAAAATCAGCATAGATTATAATTGTTGAGTGATCACCAGGTATTCCATTAGGTTCATTTCACAGGTGAGAAAACTAAGTTACAGGTAAGTACAGTGATATGGTCAGAGTCATATTTTTCAGAGAAGAGGTGTGCTTGGACCTGGATGTGCCTGACTTTAAACTCATGACTCAAGGCCTCCTTCTTTTCCACACATTGCAACTATATAATGACCCTGCACATTGCTGTTATATAAGTGTACATGTTTTCATAGCTAGAAGATGCATCTCTTTTATTTAGTTGATTTAAAGTGTATTTAAAACTAATTTAAAGCATTATTTTCATTTTATTGCTTAAAACTAGGGGAATGCAAACTCCCAGCATTTATAGCTCTTAGTTCTGTTAGTTTGGTCAAATTGGTGTGATATTTCCAGATCGATAGTAAAATCTGCTGAGGTGAGTACACCCCCTGGTACTTAACCTTTCCTTTACACAACACACTGGAGAAAATTGCCAGCACAAGGCCTCCATGAACAAGGCCAAAAGTTCATTCTGCTGAATAACTGCTTAATTAGACACCTTTCAGAACACTGCAACCTCTCCGAAAGGTCAGCCTGCTGTGACAGCTGTGTGGATATATACGGGGAGGGGAGGCTGCGCATGGCATATGATCAGGACCAGCAGATTTTTAATGTCTTGGAAATGATGCTCTCTGCCCAATATCTTGATTGACTGATTATGCCCCAGGGTGGATGAGCAAAACAACAGCATGAGCCTACCCCAGGAACATCTTGCCTGTTCTTTGATGAGATGCATGAAACATTGGCTGGAAGGCAGGGTTATTCTCCAGGGGCAAGTTGGGGGACAGGAAGACGGTGCTGTGGCTTGAATATGGGTCTCCACCAAAATTCAAGTTGAGGTTGAATTTCCCAACATGGCAATGTTGGGTGGGAGGTGGGGCCTGGTGTGGGGGAACTCTCATTAATGAATTAATGCCACCCGGAGTCGGGGAAGGAGTGAGTTCTCACTCTCATGGGATTAGATGCCACCAGAGTGGGTTGCTGTAAAGCAAGGTTTCTTCTTGTGTTTTGTCTTCATTCTGTGCCCACTTCCCTTCTGCCTTTTGCCTGGAAGCCCTCATGGGAAGCCAACCAGAGAGAGTTGCTCCATCTTGGGCTCTCCAGTCTCCAGAACTATAAGCTAAAGAAACCTCTTTTCTTTATAAATTACCCATTATCGCTGGGTGTGGTGGCACATGCCCATTAATCGCAGTGACTTGGGAGGCCAAGGCAGGAATATTGCAAGCTTGAGGTCAGCCTGTGCAACTTCCTGAGACATTGTCTCAAAAATAAAAAAAAAAAAAAAAAACATCAATAAATAAAAAGGGCTGGAGGTGTAGCTCAATGGTAAAGTACTCCTGAGTTCAATCCTTGGTACTAGGAAAAAAGTTACGGAATCTTGGGTCTTCTGTTATAGTAACAGAAAATAAACTAAGAGAAAGAGACAAGGAGGGAAAGAGTGAGATAGGCAGTGGGATTCCTACCCTTAGCATCAAAGAAAAAGGTCTTCTTATCAATTTCTCTTACTTGTACTGAATTTAGTTGTAACACACTGGACAGTGAGCTTTGTTTTATCCACATTGAAACAACCAGGAACCTTCATTATTTATGAAATATGTGTTTATAAATGTGTATTAATTAAGTGTATGACCCCTGCTTCTGGCCTCATCGGTTCCTTGGGAACAGCAGTTATTCTTCTATGAGACCCTGGCCCAGGTGCCAAATGATGGGCCATTGACCTGCCACTGGATTATGAGCTCAGGGTTAATTAGCAATTTTAAAAAGCAAAGAATAGCAGTTTTTCAATTGAGAACTAATCTCTTGACAACTCTGAACTTCCTTTTTTAAAAGAGAATTGTGAAGTGTGAGGAAGGTGCTTTGCTCTGGAGGTTTGGACCCTGGGGATGTCTAGAGCTGCCAGGCTTTCACTAAAATTATCCAGGAGCACATGTCAAGGGCCATCTAGGACAGGGCAATGGTAGGACTCTACCAATATTGAACTCCAACAACATCTAAATAAAGACATTGGTGGCACCAAACATAGGGATGATCTGTCTTCCAGGGAGCTTCCATATGAGGCAATCTCCTAGGGTCAGGAGGCTCCCCTTCCAGTCAGAAGCATCTGCTTCTGTATTGGTCTCAAACTGGCTGTGGGAAAAGAGATCAGGCCCACCACTTTGGGTGGGTTTGGGCAGAAAGAGGGCCACTCACCATCTGCAGGACGTCAGAGGAGACCATCTGCATGCAGCACATAGCCGTGGCCAAAGCACACACGATGGTGGAGACTACATTGAGGGCGCACACACTGAAGAGGAGATCCTGTGAAAAGAGATGCAGGAGAAGGTCAACTCATCTTGGCCACCCAGGCAGTAGAATCCTTAGCCCTTCTGTCTGGGTCCAGAACAAGGGTAGAAATTGAGCGCCATTTGCTTCATGGTGTGTGTGTGTGTGTGTTTTCATAGTCAAAATTGGCCTTAAATATAATACTTTTGTTTATTCTTTTACAATGCTGATCAAATTATTCTTAATACTAGTAATTTCTTTCACAATTTTGATAATTATTAGATCGTAAAATATCTAAGAAGTTCTTGGAATGGTCAATAAGTAAGGAAGTGGGTGATTTTTTTTTTTTATCAATCACAACATGCAACTCCAAGTTTCAATGAGTGCTTAATAAAATGTCAAGTTTTAAAATAATCTTGAGATTATTGTAGATTCACATGCAATTGTAAAAAATACTATACAGAGAGGTCCTGTGTACCCTGTGGTAGCATCTTGAAAACTGTAGCACAATATCACAGCCAGGAATCTAACAATGATTAAGTCAGAGTAGAAATACTCACCCCTCCCCCTGCTGCCTGCTCAATCCCTTGTTTCTAACATCTGTCAGCCACTAGTCTGTTTTATGTTTTTATAATTTTGTAATTTTAAGAATTTTCATAAATGAAATCATATGGCTGTAAACTTTTGGAATTGTCTTTGTTTCACTCAGCATAATTTCCTAGGAATGATATTAAATACTTTCTTCTTATTTGTTTTTTCTTGCCTTATAGCACTAGCTAGGACTTTTGAGTATTAAGAATGAGTAAGATGAGGGCACACATCTTCCTCCTGTTCTCCATCTTGGAGGGCACAATTCATGGAGTGTGATGTTGGGAAAGAAATGATGCACCCTCTTTTGACAAATGATTGATAATAAAGATATCCTTGCAGGGTCTAGCACAGAATCTGAGCATAATCAGTGCTCAGTTAACATCTGTTGAATGAAACTCTCCTGAAAACTTGGAAATGACCATTGAGACACCACTGGAGAGATAAACTAGGGTGCAGGGAAGAAACATGAAGATAGTCTGAGAGGGACTTGAAAGTCCAAACCAGCAGGGCATAGACATTTATTGGTCATTGGCAGTGGTGGAGGGGGACTGGGATGAGGAAGAAGAAATAATAGGAGATGATTCTGGTAGGTGGGAACATGAGATGCCAGCACCTAGGCCAGGGGATCATAGATGGGAAGCATTCCTAAAACCAGAGTAACCAATGTGGTTTGAGACATGAAGAGGCTGAGTTGTCATGCAGCCTGTCCCTCAGATAGATATCTTAGTAAATAGAAGTTGACAATGGTGGTTAGAGCTGAAGATGTGGATTAGAGGTCATGTCTATGACCTTGACCTTGTACATGTTCCTGATGCATTTGATGCCCCCTGTGTTTATTCATTCAACCCCTCCAGATTCATTATACTTCAGGGGATTTGAGTCCCCTACCAACATCCTATAGAAGAGGGCATTTTTCTATGAAATTACCATTATTACCATAAAAATACACCAGAGAGAACAGTGAATGATTATATAGAACACTTTTTAAATATGTATTTTATATCTCTCAGGGAGTAATTAAAAATTATGACTAAAATAGTGACACTTGTCAACTTAATGTACCTAAGAATATAAACAATACCTATATTTTTGTCCTCAATCTAGAAATCTCAACTGTATTGACCACACATACCACAGTCTTGAAATGAATGCTCTTCTCAAAATAACATGAATTTTGCATATACTCCCATTTGCAACCAAATAAAACTACTCATAAAAAAGAAACATGTATTATAACCTTTTGTGTGAGTATGCATCCTGAGGCAAATACTACTTTATGTCTCTTAAAGTGATTTATTTGAAATACATTTCAAAATACTTCTTTTGCCTTTTCCTCTTCCTCCAGATGTTTAAATTCTTTTCTTCTTCTCTAAATAACTTCATACCATCAAAATTATGTTTGCGTGTTTCTTTAGAATTCTTTTCTGGCTTCAACAATGCCTCTACCTCTTTGACAGCTTAATCAGAGAGTCCTCCACAAGCCCTGAAATCCATGTTCTATAAAACCCCTTGGCAAAGTCATCAAAATGGCAAGTGTGAAAATATTGTTCTTCTTTCACTGATACTGAGTTTTGCTGCTGAACATACTGCATATTTGTTTTTGAAGTTATTAACACTAATTATAATTAAGGAAATCATGTAGAAAACAAAAATTAGAGGAAAAAAGTTTTAGATACATAAGGAAACCTACAAATGATGACTTCTTTTAAATTCTCTCCAGTCCAAGTAGATTCTGGACATTAATAACACAATTACCGGAGAAAGATGAAGGCATGAGAATTGATAAATGCCTACATATTTAAAAATATTAAAAATTCATAACTTTGAATCTTTTGTTTCCTCAAAATATTGCTATATGGAAGACAAACTGTTACATTCATTTCCATTATCACATTCACTGGCTTTCTTTTTCCTACATTTTTTCTTTCTTTGAATAATTAAAAAGGTCCCATCAAAGCCCTTTAACAGTCAGAGTTCAATGATCGAAGGCAGAATCATAAGAAGGGATCTATAGCATAAAAAAGAAGTGAGAACCCAAAACTCTACATTAATTTTGTGTGGGCTGGGGGTTTGGTTTATCTGAATTATTCTATTTAATGCCTGCACCATTTTTTGTTTATTGCCTTGTGATGTTAGACAGCACCATTACCCTGGGCCTGGCTTCAAGTTCCTGTCAAGAATGGAAAACCTTGACTATGCTCTACCCAGTTTGTTTCCCCAGGTTGTGTTTACAAGAAACAACCTTGAGGAAGAAGGGAACCACTCTCCTAGGCAAAGCATAGATTTTAGGCAGTAGATACCCCAAGCTCATTGTTCTTCCCCTACAATGTAACTCACTAGGCAGGTATCCATGATGCATCCTTTATATCACCAGCCTGAGACAGGAGGGATGTGGGGAACTGACACAAGCCAACATAGTGCTCTGGTTACTGCTTTTGCTGTGAGTAATGAAGTCCTTTGTTTCTGAACCAGGAGTCTCATGTCTTCTGCCAGAGAATTAACAGTAAAAAGGAACAGGCTAGTTTGTTAGCTTAAAAAAAGGTAAGTCTCAGACCCTGCAGTAGGAATAGAGCAGAGTCCATATTTTCTACTATTCTGTGTAGTAGAATAGATCATCCCAAACAGGTGATTGCTAAATATTTGTTTGAAAGTTTATAGAATATTTCATTATTCTCTTCTGAATTTTAAGTTTGGACTAGAAGGAAACAACATACTCACTTTACAAACTTCCACACACTCAGAAAAATTTGTCTTCACCTTTAAATAAATTAACACAATAACAAGACTCAGTAAAAACAAATAAAATAAAAACAAAAACCTCTTGGTAGCATGATCAGTGTGTGCATGCAGGTGTGTGTGTGTGTGTGTGTGTGTGTGTGTAAAACTTGTGAATTTCATTTACCATAAAACTTCTCAAGTGATGGGATATACCTTGCAACAGACCCTCAGCCATTTAATTTGTTCCTATAGAAAGTAGTTATTGGCTACAGAGATCTTTGTGGCTGTTTTAAATACTGATCCTATAAACAAAGCTAAAATAAGGTTGTTATATAAAGAAGGTAAATGATCCATGCGAAAGCTAAACATTTAACCTGTTTAAGATTCCTAAAAATGTAAGTGAATTTTGGTCTCGATTTGACCAGTCCAGTGCCATCAATAAAGGAAATAGTGCAAGAGGACAGGACTGCTCCCCACACCAAATATGTGCTTTGTTCAACAACACTTTTAACTTTGACCAGGACCCATGAGGAAACTTGCATACTCTCCACAGTGGTGCAGTTATCTGTTAACTGAAAATCTGTCCTTTGTCCTCTGAAACCACAGATTTTAGTCTTTACTTGATGGCTGTAAATTATCTAAACTATAATCTGTATAAATCACTGTAATTCATAGACTATTTTCCTTATAGCTCTATCAACCTTTAAGATGAAGAAAACCATTTGCCCCTTTTCTGATATTCAAGGAAGGGTAATCAGGCCAAAAGTGTGTGTGTGTGTGTGTGTGTGTGTGTGTGTGTGTGTGAGAGAGAGAGAGAGAGAGAGAGAGAGAGAGAGAGAGTGTATACAAAATCCTTTATAAATTCAAAATTTCTAAAACCATTGAGATCCTAATTCGCCTCTAGCTTTAAAACACAATTTAAAATTTTTTGACTTTACCCTAAATTTACAAGATTGTGAAAGAAAAAAATAAACAAGCATTGTTAAGAAATTTTTGGAAAAGAAAGGTTTCACACACATCAAAATGTACTGTAAATCTAAAATAGAATATATGGCATCCATTAAGGAACAGAAGAATTCAGACAGAGATCCTCATACTACAGGATAAGAGTGGTAAATTATGTAGCTTGTTTTGAGATAATCAGCTCTTTAAAAAAAAGATATATCTAGATGTGAAAAGAACAAGAGAGGAAAATTATTCCTTGTGAATGTAGATGCAAAAACCCTAAACAAAATACTGACACACTAAAATCTAGTAGCATATTACAAATATAATGTGACCCATTTGAGTTTCCTCCAGTATTACAAAGATTTTTTTTTTTTGTACCAGGGATTGAACCCAGGGGTGCTTAACCACGGAGCCACATCCACAGCCCTGTTTTATATTTTACTTACAGACAGGGTCTTGCTGAGTTGCTTAGGGCCTCACTAAGTTGCTGAAGCTGACTTTGAACTCATGATCCTCCTGCCTCAACCTCTCGAGCCCCTGGGATTACAGGCATTTGCCACCACGCCTGACACAGAGATGTTTTAACATAAGCTAAACTGATAACGGAATTCAGCACATTAAAAGAGAAAAACCATCTGATCACCCATTAGACATAATATAGGAGTTGATATTTCAACACGAGTGTAAAAAGCCTCTAATATAGACGAGAGTTCTCTTAACTGAAGAAACCCTATAGCAAGCATGAAGAAGGACCTGGGGATGGCTGCCACCATCACTTC